AAAAACAAAGTTGCTATATAGCATCCTTTTTAAGGTGCTATTGAATTTTTAGGGGTGCTACTGCACTAGTGCCTTTGTAGAGGCACGATTTGTACCAAAAATACCTTTGGGGGGCAGTAGCACCTTTCGAGAGGCACTATTTTACTAACGGCTTTAAAAGGCATTAGATAGCACCTTTGTTTTTCCAGTGTACTAATGGATTGTGCGCTCTGATTTCAACAATTCAACAATTTCTCAACTTATTTGATTTTTCGCCGTTTTTTTCCCTTTATTTAAATGTTAATTTCCCTCACGCATCAGTTAATCATCCGCTGTCTTCCGTGCTGCCATTGCGTGGGCGTGCAGGGGGAGGGGTGCCTCTCCGGGGCCCAGCAGGGTATAAATTATTCATGAGATGGTCATTTGCTCGCGCCTTGTCGATACCCGATCAATTACGGCAATGTTTGTATAATATTCATGGGTTTGGGGAGAAGCGGGGGCATATCGAGAGCGTGCGGCAATGAGTCGGCTCTCTCGACCGAGAACATGGCGTAGGGTGTCCGAGAACCCTTTGCGCCGTTAGGCTGCTGGTGGAGAAAGGAGGAGAAGGTCGCATCGGTGGCAGCAGTAGTCGCCATCGGCGTCCTCGGCAACCTTGCCCACGACACTTTCCTCTTGAGCGATAGGTTCCTGTTTGTTTCTCTCTGCCATATCCCCCGCCCCCACTGCTACTTTGCGTCTAGACTTGCAGACACAATTATCGAAATAATGAATCGAGTTTCGATACTAGTGCGAGATTATGACGATAACAGTTTTTCGGAGAATCATTTACTACCCCCCGCGCGTGTCACGCCTCTCTGGTCGCGCAGACGTTTCCATGACGTGTTTCCGGCGTGTTCGTGACGTCTCTCCGATCACGCACGGCCACGGCCGTCTGGCTGGCGCTCTCCTAGCGTGACGCGGCGGCTGTAATTTACGTAATGGCTGCGTCTGCCAACACGGCGGCGCGGCGGGGACGGAGCCGGTGGTGTACTCTGGGGTGGTGTCGTCGAGGACCAACCATGGCCGGAGTGGTGCTGACGCTGAGGTGACACGGTGATGATGACCTTACCCAACTCAAACTAGCATCGCTCTGCTATGGCAAATAAGATGTTTGTTTGCGTCAGAGTTGACTTGTTCAGTCTGACTCAAATTATAGCCATCGCACTGCTATACGGGTGGATTTGAAAATTGTGTCAAATTCGTGTCCCTGGACCTTTAATCTTGAATGCGAAGCACACGAACATCGGTCGGAGCCGAAACGCATGCAGAAGATCGAGATGGACTAGGAACACAACTCAGTTTCGTCAATGTTGACACCACCAGGTCACGGGGATGACAGGAAGGGCCAAAATACGCGTTTTTGGCGTGTCCCTGTCTCCATTTTTGAAGTTTAAAGCACTCGGATAATTAGTGGGGGAGCGTAAAGGTCAAAACCAAAAAATAGTTTATTTGTAGAATGAACCAATAATCATTTTAAGCCAAAGCGCGTTCAGAAATTTTAAAAATTGGTCAAGATATAACAATATGAATGTCTGTCACCAGGTTTTTGAACTTTCCCGTTTTAAAAACATAAATCAAGTTTAAAAACTTGTCTTTCTGTAAGTTCACTCTTAGTCAAAAACAACTCCTCAGACCATACGCTTCAAAAATCAATACGGGTCAAACCTCCCGAACAAGTTTAAACATGTTTTTTTCTACAAACAAGAGAGCGTACAAAGCTGAAAAATAGCAAAAGTCGGCAAGAAAGGGGGGGGGGG